ATATATACATATAGTCTCGGGACATGGAGTAGAGAGCGGGAACGGATTCAATGGAATTGTAATAGATAAGCATGATATTGGGGGTGGGAGGGCAATAGATAAGGGGAGGGGGGTTGTTACCTGGTGAGGGTGAAAAGGGTAACTATTGTATTGTTCTGTACACCTGAAACTAACAATAAAAAAAATAAATTAAAAAATAAAAAATAAAACAAATAAAAAAAACCCCACAAGTTTCAAAAGCAAAATGTGAAGGGAGAGAGCAGCAACAGCTTTTTTTGGTAATTATGTCTTTTAAAATTTTTTAGAATTATGTCCATTTTTTTACTGTGGGATCAGCTATTGATTCAGGTGACTGAGAAAGAATCAGCTACATCCTTAAAGCAAAACACAAAACAAAACCCAAAATTGTCCTTCAGCCTGTCTTTCCAGATGACTTCTCAGCTCCCATAACCTTGCACACAAGTTTCTGTAATTATGTTGAATTGAAAGCGCTTTTGTTATTTGGACAGGGAGGAAGCAGCCTCCCCTCCATAGCTTAGGACCAGCGGGTCGGGGAGGGACCGAAAGTTCACAGTGTGGTTTCTCCATAGAGAGATGAAGTGCCCAGCCCTGGGTGGGGATGTTACCGGAAGGTGAAAGAAGTCCCACTGGGGGCAGGGCCAGAAAGGCTGGGCAGGGAGGCAGCCAGGCGGGCAGCAGAGGGGCTGCGGTGGCTACTGCTGGAGGCCAGTCAGGTCTGTTTTTATTAGGGGTGACCACCTAATGCATACCCTTCCCTCCAGGGGTGGGGGCTTCAGCACAGAAAGTCTCTCACCACCTCCCCCCTGGAGGGCTTCCATGCCCCACACCCCTACAGCTTTCCTACAGAAACTCCCTTTGATTATTTTTACTTCCCCTTAGCAGAAATGCTTTAACACAACTTTATTTAACTGAACTTAGTAAAAAATGTGTTGCCACAAAAGAAAAAAAGTTTCTGGGCCGGCCGAGTGGCTCAGCTGGCTGAGAGCTCGCTTGGGAGCACCAGCTCTGAGCAGCAGGGCTGCAGTTCAAATCCCATATTGAGGGCCAGTGACGCTCGTCCACTACAGCTGGGATGGTGAACGGCAGCTCGACCTGGAGCTGAGCTGCTGTGAGTCGCTGGCGACCGAAGGCGTACGCTGCAGTGGGCTGCCGTGAGCTACGTGAGTGGCTGGCAGCCAGCGTGAGCGGCTGGTAGCAGGCGTGAGCTACTGGGAGCCACTGTGAGTGGCCAACCAACGACCGGCAACCGATTGCCTCACCCAGGAAGAGCACAGTGATCGTGCCAACGTGGGCCAGTGTGGCAATGTCCTCCACAACTAGACTGAAGAACAAAACAGCAATTTGTCTACCTGTCTGTTCCCCTTCCCCGATTCCCCAACACTGTTACCCTCCCCCAATTCCTCAATAAAATCTTTAAAAAAAAAAAAAGAAAAAGAAAAAAAGTTTCTTTACATGTAGATGGATCCACAGTGGAATCGATTGCTGTGTGTGGTTGAAGTAGGCGTCCGGATGATGTTTTTTTTCCACATGGATATTCAGTTGACCCTAGTGCCATTTATTGGAAGATTATACGTTCTTGCAGTGCCACCGCTGCCATCAATCAGATGGCCATCTATCACTAGGGGTTGTTTCCTGGCTGTCTTCTATTCTATCAGCTTGTCCTTCCACAAGCACACACTGCCTTAATTAGTGTAACTGCTTAAGTGTTTTTAAATTTCTCTCAATAATGTTTTGTTTAGAGGTCTTATACATCTTTTGTTAGAGATTTTATGGCTTTTGAAACTAATGATATAATTATTAAAATTTCATTTTCTATATTTTGCTGCTTACATATACGACTATAATTGAGTTTTGGTTTCCAACTCTATATCCAGTGATCTTGCTAAATTCAGTTACTAAACTCTATATCCAGTGATCTTGCTAAATTCAGTTACTAATTCTAATAGCTGCCTCTAGAGCAGCAGTTCTCAACCTTCCTAATGCTGCAACCCCTTAATACAGTTCCTCATGTTGTGACCCTCAACCATAAAATTATTTTCGTTGCTACTCTATAACTGTAATTTTGCTACTGTTATGAATCATAATGTAAATATCTTTTTGTTTTCCGNCTGTTCCCATCCCCCCAATTCCCCAATAAAAATCTTTAAAAAAACAAAAACAAAAAAAAATTAGGTGAGATACTTACTTTAAAGCTCACATTCTCTTTATTTATTTATTTATTTATTTATTGGGGAATTAGGGAAGGAGAATAGTGTTGGGGAATTGGGGAAGGGGAACAGCCAAGTTGTTGTCCTTCAATCTTAGTTGCGGAGGTGGGGGGTGCGGCACAGCTGACTATCATCCCATGCGGGAGTTGAACCAGCAACCTTGGTGTTAGGAGCACGTGTTCTCACCAGCTGAGCCATCCTGACACCTGTTGGCAGCTCAGCTCAGGCGCAGCTCACTTGCCCACGTGGGAATCGAACCGGTGACCCTGTTGCTCAGAGCTTGCGCTCTTAACCAACTGAGCCACTTGGCCAGCCCCAAAGCTCACATTCTCTTTAATCACTTAGTTTTCCTTCGTTCATTGTCTTTTATTAATTCCTTCCCAGATGCTAAAATCTTTGAGGAAGAGTTCCACTATTCCTTAAGAGCTATGGGAGTCTTCCGAGCTTGATTGTTTGAGTTGTGGTCAGCTTCTGAGGGCCACGTATGGCTGTATACTGGTGGCCCTTCTCCTCACTAGGTTATTGCTTCGATCAGGGCAAACTGTTAGAGTGAAAGGTCCAAATATTTAACGTGTGCTTTCCTCTCATCAGGTTTACAACATCATTAAGAAGGAGAGTAACCGGCAGAGGGTTGGATTGGAGCTGATCGCCTCCGAGAATTTCGCCAGCCGAGCAGTTTTGGAGGCCCTAGGTTCTTGCTTAAATAACAAGTACTCTGAGGGGTACCCAGGCCAGAGGTATGTGAATGTTGTCCAAGGCCTGCTTCTGACATAGTGACGGGAGGTCCTGAATCAGGATAGAATCCAAACCACGTGGGGAGTTCTATTCCGCTCCTGCTCTGACGACTTTTACGATGCCCAGTGTGTGATAGAAAGCACTGATGATCTAGGAGCAGATACACTCAGGGTCACACTAATAGTCCCTTTGGGGGTTTTCTAGAATAACAGGCCAAGTCCATAAGGAATGTGGAGCTGCTGGACTGTCATGGAGCCTCTAGAAAAAAAGTCAGTAAGTACTCAGGGGGATGCCATGGAAGGTGGCAGTTGCTATGTGAGTAATCAGATCTGTATCAGTAGCCACCTGGAAGTGAAAACTGAATCTGCTGCCGTGGAAACCCCTTCTGCATTATAAAGGTTGGCTTTACATATGCAGCAATTTCAGTCAACTCTTTCACCCTGAGAACCATGAGAAGTTATATTCTTTTTTGTTTTTTGTTTTTTAGTCATCATCAGCCAAAGGTGATGATTACAGACAGAATCTGACGTATGCTTTTTGCAAATGTGTACGTTTGTGTCCCAGAGAGCACAGAGAAAGAAGGGTCACCCTCGGAGCTGAACTGGTGTTCTATCCTGAGATACCCTGAAGCTCTCTGTAGAAGAGCTTTGTCTTTCTCCTGCTGTGAATAGCTAACTTTTGCGTTGTGCTTTGAAGAGTTTACTGGGTGTTTTCACAGCTAACATCTCATTTGATCCTCGTGGGAGCCCTGTAGGGAAAGTGGTGCTGTGTTCCACATTTTAAAGATGGGGAAGCTGAGGCTTACTGAAATTCAGTGATTTCTCAAGTTTGCACACAAGTAGCAGAGCTGGGACTCAAGTCCAGATGTTTTCAAATGATAGGTTAAAAAAATAAATATCTGGTCTTTGTCCCTGGATTCTTTCACTTAAGCTTCTAAAACTCTTCAAATCTGTGGTGATAGGAATGTCTTTTATTAGTTATAGTGAGCCCTTTCAAGCACACCTGAGTTTATGTTAAAGAGGTGACTCTCTCGGTGGACCCCTGGAGAGCTTCAGAATGGGAGCTGGTGGCCAGAAAGATCAAGGCGTGATTAGAGGGCTGGAGACTGAGTTATCAGCAATGCCAGTGATTTGATCAGTCACACCTCATAATGAAACCTCCATAAAAACCCTAACCAGTGAGGTTTGGAGAGCTTCCTGGTTGAGAACAATTGAGGTGCTGGGAGAATGGCACTCTGGAGAGAGCGCAGATGCTCCAAACCCTTTCCCCACACCTTGCCCCATGCATCTCTTCCATTTGGCTGTTTCTGAGTTGTATCTTCTATGATAAACCAGTGATAGTAAGTAAAGTACTTTCCTGAGTTCTGTGAGTCATTCTAGTGAACTATCGAACCTGAGGGGGTGTTGTGGGAGTCCCCGAATTTGCCAGACAGAAGCGTGGTTAACTAAGGGACCCGATACTTGTGATTGGCCTTTGAAGTGAGGGAATCCTGTGGCATGAGCACTTAACCTGAGGGGTCTGATGCTAACTCAGTAGTCAGGTCAGAACTGAATTGAATTGTAGGACAATTGATTGGTGTTAGAATTGGTTGGTATGAGGAAAAAAAACCTCACACATTTGGCATCAGAAGTATTGTGAGCAAAAACCTCTCATCCCCCCTCTTTTCTTTATTGTGGTAAAATATGCATAACATAAAATTTACCGCTTTAACCATTTTAAGCGTACAGTTCAGTGGTATTAAGTACATTCACAACATGGTACAACCATCACCACCATCCATCTCCAGAACTTTTCAGTTTTTAGAAACAAAGGTCTGTACCCATTAAATAATAACTCTAGCCAACAAGCACATGGAAAGATACTCAACGTCACTAATCATTAGGGAACTGCAAATCAAAACCACGATGAGCTACCACCTCACACCCATTAAGATTACTGTAAAAAAGAAAAAACAGAAAAACAATTGTTGGTGAGGATATGGAGAAATTGTAAACATCATGTACTGTTGGTGGGAATGTACAATGGTGCAACTACTGTGAAAAACAGTATGAAGGTTCCTCAAAAACGTAAAAATGTAATTACCATATGACCTAGCAATTCCACTTCTGGGTATAGATCCTATAGAATTGAGAGCAGGGGCTCAGATTATTTGTGCACCATGTTCACAGCCGCATTATTCACAATAGCCAACAGGTGAGAGCAACCGAAGTGTCTACTGATGGACGAATGGATAAGCAAAATGTGGTGTATCCATACAATAGAGGTCCTTCGGCCTTATAAAAGAAGGAAATCCTGTGACATGCTACAGCAAGGATGAACCTTGAGGATATGATGCTGAATGAAATAAATCAGTCACAAAAATACAAATACTATATGATTCCGCTTATATGAGGTATCTAGAGTAAAAATCATAGAAATGGAAAGTAGAATGATGAGTACTAGGGGCTGGAGCAGGAAGAAATGGGGGTGTTGTTTGATGGGTATATGTCGCGTCCCGCACGACATGAGCAGTGGGAGAACGATAGGGGGCAGCGAAGGGTTAAGAAATAAAAGAAACAGCAGCCAAGAGTTAAATGAGTGAGGGGCCAAGGGTCTCCAGTCTCGTGGACTAAGAGCCTCGAATCGGGTCGACACATCGCTTATTTCTCCACCTACCCGGAAGTAGCATTGTTCTCTCCACAGTCTGTGAATCTCATTCCTGAGAACTTGCTCAAGCCAAATTACCCTTGCCTGCAAGCTGCTATTACCGAGAGTCCACCTGCAGCGATAAGACAGATAGACAGATGCTCTGCCTTCACACACCCTATACGCATACAACCCCAGGAAGATAAGATTATTGTGCTGAGGACAGATACTATCACACCATCAAGTCACTTCCCAAGCAGGTTGAGGGAAGGAATGTAGCTACAGAGGTAGAAAACCTCCAGTCTTTTTGAGGGGGCGGGTGAGGGCCCCTGCCCACCTCCATCAGCCCCGAGATTTCTCCTGATGGCCTCCAACTGACCGTGCCTGTCTTAGGTTGTTCCTCTCACGAGGAATCTTACCCGTCATTGACTAACCGGCCATCCTTTGGAGCCAAATAAGGAGATGCAAGGTGTATGAGCAGTGTCCTCAAAAGGGTCAGTTTAGGGTTAAGCGCGGGGGGACAGACGGCTGGACAGCCGTGTGGCAACAGGTATAGAGCAGGGGTCGGTAAACTTTTGAGACGGAAGAGCTGCCAGGGATCAATCAGCAAACTGCGGCTCGCAAGCCTCAGGCTCTGAAGTAAAATTGAAAATGAAAATAAAACTATCATAGTTTCATTTATAAAATTTTTAAAGGATATTATTCACATAATGGTGCTTATGTAAAAATATATTTATGGCTCTTGAATAATTTTTAAATTATTGTGAGGGACAGGATTGGCTTTTCCAGGGGTTGGCAAACTTTTGAGATGGAACGTACCCAAAGAGCCGCGAGCCACAGTTTGCTGACCCCTGGTATGGAGTTTCAGTTTTGCAAGATGAAAAAGTTCTAGAGATCTGTAGCACAACAATGTGAATACACTTATCAATGTGAGGTACTTAATACTACTGAACTGTATGCTTAAAAATGGTTAAGATGGTCAATTTTATGTTACGTGTTTTTTACTATAATAAAAATATGTATACATGTAACTAAAAATTTATAAAGCTTTTTGTGATTACAAGGCCTAAATGTTAAAAATTTCTTCTGGATTGAGTTATTATGATTATTAGTATGTATACAGATAATAAAAACCATAAACAGATGATAAATTTTTTTTTTTTTTTTAGCTGAGCCATCCTGCCAACCTGTTGGCAGCTCAGCGGCTGCTCAGCTCGGGCCGGGACTCGAACTGCTGTTGCTCAGAGCTCAAACTCTTGAGCGAGCTCTTAACCAACTGAGCCACTCGGCCGGCCCTATGATAAATTTTGATATGTAATTATTAAACGAAAAAAAAAATGTTATTAGAAATGTGAAAAAAAAAACTAATATCTCTCTCCCTGTCCCTCCCCAGTCCTGGTAACCACCATTCCACATTCTGTCTCCACGAATCTGACTATTCTAGGTTCCTTTCATAAGGGGACTCATATAGTTGTAAATGGCTTATTTCACTTAACATGATGCTGATTTCCTCAAGGTTTATGCATGTAGCTGATGTCAGAATTTCCTATAGATGAAGAGACTCTTGCTCAGTGTGACACAGCTTGGCACTGGTGGAAGATGAGTGGTGTTGGGTTCTCACCGTTTCTCTACGTTTGTTGTTCTGTCCCACCCCGAGCTTCTTTGGCCTCTACTAAGCATGGAGGTTTGGGGCCAGCGTGGACCTAAATCTCTGCTCTCCTTCCCACAGGTATTATGGTGGGACTGAGTTTATCGATGAGCTGGAGATCCTCTGTCAGAAACGAGCACTGCATGCCTATGGTCTGGACCCTCAGTGCTGGGGGGTCAATGTCCAGCCCTATTCAGGTAATTCCCACTTCCAGACAGGCCTGGAGCCCATCTCCTGGGGCTGACGTTCACACAGAGGGGTCCAAAGAAGGATGGCCCATAAACAAAAGTTAATGAGCTGAGCCCCTCCTGGGTGTGTGTGTCTTTCTCCATTGTCCTTGGCTCCCAGCTATGCACGCCCAGGCAGTGCCCTATCTCTGCATGTCCCCTTTCCCTACCCCCCAAGGGGATTAGTGCAGGGGACCCCCTGGGGGCTGGCGGAATGCATAATGGCGGCCAGGCCTGTTCTGGCCACTTCTGGTTGATGGCCTAGTGCCCCAGCTCACGGTCCTGCTTGGTACCTTAGGGACAGAAGCAATTGTACCCCCTCTGCTCTGTCCTGTCCAGGCTCCCCTGCCAACTTCGCAGTGTACACTGCTCTGGTGGAACCCCACGGACGCATCATGGGTCTGGACCTGCCTGATGGAGGCCACCTGACCCATGGGTTCATGACAGACAAGAAGAAAATCTCTGCTACATCCATCTTTTTTGAATCTATGCCCTATAAGGTAAGAGTGCCTCTCTTCTCCATAGCTCCAGTGTTTGGCTATGCCTATAGAAATAAGTTTTGTTCACGTGGTGCTAGAGGAAGTCCCACCTTTCACCATTTGTCATTTCTGTGCCCTGGGGACTCCTCAGGCTTACAGAGCAGTCTGGGGACAGTTGGAATGGAGACCAGGGGGCTGAGGTGAGGAACAGGGAGACGGGTAGAGTAGCCTGGAAGAGGTTCCAGCTGCAGCAGGGGTGCTGGCTGCCCCAGAACTAGTGGGCAGCAACAGCTGGGATGACTGCTCCCAGCAACCAGTTTGCCATGGCTGGACCCCTAGTGACAACAGCTGCATCCCTGGGTCCAACACTTATGCCAGCAGCCTCACCATCAGCACCCAGTCACCCCTCCATAGTCCAGCCAAAGACAGACCATATGCCCATCACAGGATCGGCACATATTTATGGGGACCCTTGTCATTATAAATTATTTGGTCCAAAAAATGCGTGTGAGATTCCTGTGCTCATGGGGGGCATAGTGACTTATCTATGAAGATGATTAGAGGGATGGGTAAAAGAGGTAACTTGCATACTTGTTTTTGGTGGTCCATGCACATGATGATTCTCGCTCATATCCAGGAACCATCTCATGGTGTTTACTGTCACACGGGCCGCTCCTGGTTTCAGATGTCCCCCCACGAGCAAAGGGAACTATGCATCACTGTGCTTGGTTGGATGTCAGACACATAATTTTATGCTTTTGAGAAAATCAAGCCAGTGCTCTCTCTCAGCACTCTATAGTCATTGTTGCATACCCTTGATTGTTTGCTGTTTTTATTTTTTATTAGCCTTTACCTCAGCTCTAGTAATTGCACATATACCTTTTGTGCAAATTACAGTTAATTTCTTTTCATGGAAAGCCTTTGTATTTCCGGTCACAGGTATCTATCTCAGTCAACACTGACCTTGAAGATGGATTTTGAAACATGACAATAGTAACAGTGTTCTATCTTTGCACTTAGAATGCAAAAACCTGTTACTATGGTTTCTTTCACTGGGGAAAGAATGATGGCAGAGTAATCGCCAACTGGTTTTCTGACCTTAGATGAGGACTTGGGGAGCCTCATGCTCTTTAGCCCAGTGTCCGCTGTTACTGAAGTGTGTTCCAGGCTTTAGCAAGCCCGGAACTGCACCCCAGTCCCCGCCAGCTGCCCCATTCTTGACACGCACTGTGCAGGCTGCATCCCTGTGGACGCAGTGGGGAGGCCCATGCAGTGGTGGGCCTGCGGGCTGTGTGGAGTGGCAGGGACTGGGACTCCAGCCAGCTCAGGCAGCAGGAGGCACAGCTCACCTGCTGGAGGGGCGCCCGTGGGCATCGGCCTTGATGGGCAGAGAGTAAGACACAGACCTGACTGGCCTCCAGCAGTAGCCACCACAGCCCCTCTGCTGCCCGCCTGGCTGCCTCCCTGCCCAGCCTTTCTGGCCCTGCCCCCAGTGGGACTTCTTTCACCTTCCGGTAACATCCCCACCCAGGGCTGGGCACTTCATCTCTCTATGGAGAAACCACACTGTGAACTTTCGGTCCCTCCCCGACCCGCTGGTCCTAAGCTATGGAGGGGAGGCTGTTTCCTTCTTGTCCTGGGCCTCTGCACCACTCTGGCCCCAGCACAGTTTGTTATGAATGCCTATGAATTCTCCCAGGAGCTGTTTTATTGTTGAATTTTCAAGATTAGAAAAAAAACAAACTTTAAAAAAAAAAATCCCACAATTCTAAGGAACGAAATGGATGGGAAAAGTGGATGGAGATAGTCTCAGAGACACAGAGGAAGAACTGAGGGTTGTTAGTTGGGAGGGGCTGGGGATGAAGGGGAAGGGGAAGGGATGAGACAATACAAATTAGTAATTGTAATATGGCCTCAGGGATAGAAAAAGACTATATATATAATATAATCTATATTATATATAATCTATATTAGGATTATAATCTATAATGTTGTAAGTATTTCTTAGGGGGCCAGATGGACCCATGTCCTTTTGGGGAGTCCACTTCATAGTCGATGTAGAGGCCTGACCACCGCATTGTATTTCTGAAGCTGATGTTGAATAATATTGTATGTCAACTATAATTATATATACATATAGTCTCGGGACATGGAGTAGAGAGCGGGAACG